ACAGCAAAGCCTAAACCCCGGACTCTAGCACACCCATCACGGCCTTTGCAAAGGTTTCGCCAGGCCCCGCTGGCAAAACAAACAAGTTGCCTGCACAACGCCCGAGTTCACCCCCAGATGCCTCAGCTTTCCGCCACAGGCTTGGGGTTTGGCGTTCAAGGTTTAAGAAGAATTCCAGAGTGTAAAGGGATGCGAATTACAGGGCTTAGGGTCGTTTCAGGATCCAGGACCTAAGGAGTCAGGGGTTCAGCGCTTCACACTTTTCGCCCCAATATTTGCAGCAACAAGTTTCAGGGTTCGGAGATGAACCACCCTAATGGGTTTGCCACCCAGACATCCTCAAAGAGGCTCAGTACCCAACGGGAACAAACTGGGTAGGTGCACCACAGCGCGAATGGAAAAGCCATGGAAAGCCATATTTGCCAAGTTCTGAGGTCGCGCCTATAGACATCATGCAGGCGCAGTGTGCTTCGTTTCAGCATGCCCAATAAAACGGACATGTCATGAGTCACAATATACAGTCCAAGGTTCCTGTTCCATCAGATCCTGGGGAGGGCGTGGACAAGCCTAGAGCAGACAAAGCAGCTATACCTTAAACGATGGAAAACCAACACAAAGAACACATGTAGCTCCATCATGACTAATCCCAGTGGAGGGACCGTTTCCCTGCCCTTCCCTTGTGTATGCCACGTGTGCACTTCCAGAGTTGATCGGAGATCTCCTAGCCGACAGGCCGACAGTGCGCTCACTGCTTCAGACCAAGTTGGCCTTCAGTTCCGACTGAAGTCGCGCTCCCTCTGAAAGCTCCATCTCTAGCAGCCCATTGAATGGTTGAACCTGTCCTCCAGGTTCAGCCTCCTGAAGCTTGGGACCCCCCTCGGGTGTTCTCCTGGCCCTTGCACTCTGAGGGACTTCGTGACGTGGAGCTCCATCACACGAGCGCTGGCACAAGCCCAAGGAAACACCCCGTACAAGACGCGGGTGCCCACAACTCAAAGTATGTAAGAATCTCCGAAACAGGGGTGCACAAAGTTTCTTGAAAGCACATGAAAAGGACAACCCGAATGCTTATGTCAGACTTTTCCAAACCACAATATGACAGCCAAGTCTTGTCCCTACTCATCATGACCTTGCTTAAAGCTGTTATGCGGACTGACACTTCTCTGCTTTGAAGTCTACTTTTGGCTGCAGGCCTTCGCTATGTTTGGGAGGTGCTTCGACATGCTGCCTTTGTTTGGGGAAAGCTAATATCCCTGCTTGGGCACATGTTTAAGTCCAACCGTATTGAGGCTTTCCACACGGAGCATGGACAGGGGAAAACGGAGTCTTAGAGTCTCCAAAGCAGCCCTGCAGAACCTTGCTGTGAACTAAATCAAGCTGTCCATGCGTGCACCGATCGCAAGGTTTGAACTTACCCAAAGGGTCCCTGTAGCTATATTGTATATAGTTGGGCCCTACAGTAGTTGTATTGGAACCCCTTTGGGCCTGAAGTACATACTATATAGCTACATGGACCCTTTGGGCTACGCAACCCATGAGCATGCCAAGGTGCCGTTCAAACTGTCAGAATTTCCATCCTTGGAGGGTTTAGGGTTTCTAATCTGCTTGCGCTCTATGTTCATTCCAGTGGGGATAGCTGTGCATGCGTGTATGAAATATGTGTGTCCTAGCAAGGATCCTAGGGGTGTGGGTTTTGTGAACTTCAAGGGATTACTTCTACAACCAGTGGGCTTGCGTTTGAGCTCCTTCCTGCAGGTCCAGCAGGTGGGTGTCTATCTAAAGCCTATATAGCCCACCATTCAAGTATGAGCTGCCGCCCACCTCCTGTGGAACCGACCCGATTTCGTGACCTGCGGGCTTAACTTCACTATCTTGCCCGTCGTAAGAATTGGACACTAGCAGAGGGGCCTGCCTTTCCGGATGTCAAACCTTTTTGGGTCAAATAGGACTATGGATGCAAGCTCCCTGGGGCTGGATGCTTGTGTTGGTTGCGAGCGGGCTGACGAGACTCTCGCTGTGCGATTCCCCATGTCTCTTTCAGAGTCCCTGGAAGTCCAGCTACCTAATTACATTGTCGCGCCATGTAGGTTGTGTTGAAGATCATCTTGGTATGAGAACGGGTGTGAAGGAAACCCGTGGCACATAGCTAAGAGTACAGCCAGGGCACACAAGCTGCACTGCCGCCGAGGAGCTTGATAAAAGACTTTCATAGACGTGTCGAACCTGCACAGGAGACACGTGCAACCACTAGTATAAAGTCTTCCAAAAAGCCCAACAATTTGCCCGTGGTTTGTGTGCGAATTACTGCGGCTGCACCACGAACCGGAAGATCAGAAGATCACTGTGCTAAAACAAGGTGTCAAGATCAATTGCTCAGAGAGGCGCAATATAGTATATAGAGATTGCTAGAATTTTGCCAGCCAGCTTACGAGGTCGAGACGTCTTCTGGAAAAGCATTTGCACCCGTGTGGAACCATGACCTCTCCACGAAATTCACGGTAAACAACTCAGCTTTCAATACAGGTTGGTCTGCGAGCGCGCAGCAAGACAGAAGGCCAATTCTCACAAGAAGCTACAAGCGGGCGACGTTTTGAAGACGTTGCGTTGTGACCGTCCTTTCCAAGCCTATTTCTTGGAAAGCCGTCTTCACAAATGGGCATGCGCTCCAAGGAAACCAAGCCTACGTTTTGATTGCAAAGCAGAGCTTGTAAGCTACAAAGCTACAAGAATGTCAACCTGCAATAGTCCGACCACTAGCATGCAAAAAACGACGATGCTGAAGCCTCTCAGCCTTTTGCGTTTTGGACAGCAAATTGCTGTGCGGCACAACAGCGCCAACGTTTGCACTCATGCTTCCAAACTTAGACCCCCCAACCTTCAATCTTCAACCCTTGCTCTTACACAAGACGCCAAGTTGTCTATGATATGGACTGCTGCTCTGCAGCTTCCATACCTTACTTTCGAAAACGTCATATAGTGCTTATGATGACCTAGTAACCCCAAATGTGGCCGTAACCTTGCTTCCACGGTTACGGGCCCTCACATCGGCTCCTTGGGACTTTCTGTGCATAAGACAGTGATGGCCTCACTGCGCCTTCGGCCCAAGTGAATGCCTAGCATGGCGAATCTCTCCAGCCACGAATTCAAAACTCTTTCTGGTTCGTGGCTCTTGAAGAAATGCTGTCTGCATATGATGCGCCTTTACGCTATGGTCTTCAAGTGGCACTGTTTGTGGCGTAGAACCTGTCGTGGATCTTCTTCATGGGTCTGTGGACCCTAGAGTGACATACCTGGGGTTCTCTAGATTGGTTAGGGACCCCCTTGGGTACTTGATTGGAAGCAAAAGAAATGTGTCCTCGTTCTGGTTCTGTCCACCTGCTTGGCCAAGGTGTTGTATATGCTCCCAGTGCATTTCAGGGCCTACAGTCAAACCGGGATCTAAGCACACGCACAACAGCTCTGAGTTCCACAAGAGTAAGTAGTGCCTGCCCTTGGCTTTGACGGCGGCAGAGTCAAAGCTTGTATGATTGTATGACTCAGGTCCAGGGTTCACCGTGAAGATAGGATCACTTTGTGTCCCTCCCTCTCTCCCTCCCTCCCTCCCTCTTTTGCTTTGCTTTGCTTTACGGGAAAGATGGGGTTCTCCCTCTCTCTCTCTCTCTCCCTTGCTCCCTCGCTCTCGCACTCGCTGTCTCTCTCTTTCTCTCTCTCTCTCCTCTCACCCAGGCCATGACTCAATGACTTTCTCACCACTCACATTCTCACTCACTCACGCGCTCGCACTCACACACTTACTTTCACCAAAAGAGCCAGAACCCCTAGTTCGCACTCTGAAACCTTCATTCGGCAAACGAAGGTATACCTCAGTCATCTTCCACTCCTGATCCCTCATGTGCAGAATTGACATAGGCAAGATGCTTTTGACATCCACCGGCCGCCCCCAGCGAAGGTCCTGGAGAGGCATTGAAGAAGTTAAAAGATTCAGCGCCGTTATGGGCCAATCTTGTCCAAAGTGCAACCCGCATCCAACTGATAAGTGGCAGCTACCACAGACAGATCTCCAGTACCGCGAGTCAATGACGAGATATATGTCTTTCAGTGGGAAGGGCCTCGTAGGCCTGTAGCGCCTAAGGTTAAGGTGGCTTTCAGGGCATGACCTTCAGTTTGAGAACCCCTTTGACAGAAGTATCGCCTGCGCAGGTTTATTGAAGAATGAAACTAGCGGAGTCACGTCAGCAGAGCATGCGGACTTTGTAGGATGCTGTGTGGGGCCTCCGTATGGGGCAAGCCTTGTTAGCGGTATCAATCTGTGCTTTAAGAGGAAAGCAGACTGCATGCTGGCATCCTACACCTGTCAGAACTGAAACCACTTGCTGAGACATTCAGATGAGGAACTCCTGGCTGCGCGATTTTTTGCGCTTATAAAAGTCAAGTTACGTAGCTGTAGCAATCCGAAACCCACGACTTGGTGCACATGTGCTGTGAGCTGCTGGCAGATTGGGGTCGTATGGGAGCTAAATGGCACCAACCCAAAGAATCTGTAGCCGGCCTCTGGAAAGAAAACATGGCGGAGTTTACAGGCAAGACGGCCTGTGGATTCAAAGCTACACTCTGGCAAGGACCACATACAAAACATGCATGAGTGGGCAGACATCTCACCGGACCCCTGTAGCTCCAGAGCAGCGCCAAGTAGGTATCATTCTTACACTTGACTTTAGACTTTAGACCGCAGGTACTTTAGTCGATGCAAGTCACGAAGCCAGACCCCAAGTTACAGCATATGGAAAGGCAGAAAGCCCTTGCAGCACGTAAAGAACCAAACTCTAGGATAAGCGAAGCTCATGCCATTGGTCCGGCCTGCGAAGGGGTATCACGCACCTGGCAGCTGTTAGGCAGTAGCAAGCCCTACCCGCTGGAGCCCTTCAGTCACCCACTCAACCTTTTCATCCCCGTTGTCCGGTCCTGTCATCATGCAAATTGGCGCCCCAAGGTTGAACATTTCACTCGTCAAGCTTGTTGCCGCAGTTAGGGCCTCAGCACACAACCAACAGGTGGCAGCACGGGTCGTGTGCGGTAGAGTGAAAATGGCTAGACACTGGTGGGAGGAAACCTGCAGAGCCTTGCTCTCGCTGCTGCAAGATACCGCAGGAACGCACTACCTTCAGTGGCCGCAACCAAAGCAAGAGACGCACATCAAGCATTGATCTTCGTCATCTTGTACACATTAACTGAGCAGTTCATCTTGGGGAGATAATCCTTGTGAGTCACGCATGTGGTCGCTTAGATTTCATGGCGTGGATCCTTTTTTGGATGCCTGTAAGGGAAAAGGGCGTCAAAGCAAAGGACCCAGAATAGAACCCTTTCCCAGGGCTTGGATGTGTCGACCAGCCACCCAAAATTTCCAGCTCATGTCTGACGCTTCGGGCCTCACGAAAGAAAACCTTTATTTTAAAATGTCTGGGTTAGGTTGCACGAGTCCCCCAAAGAGTTCAAACATTCAGCCGTAAGTCTTGCATGGACCCTCCAACCCAGTTCCTTCCTTTGGCACGGTCCTGATGGAACTCTTTAGTCTGGTATTTGGACCATCCAGGAAGGTGTACTTGGGAGGACAGACCAGGTGAAAAGTAACAACAAATCTACCTTGCAAAGGGTTAGAGATACACAGTGGCTCCAACCGTGACCCTGCAGAGAAAGTAGCAGAAGGTGTAGTAGGCCGCACGTTTGCAGCCACACCACGGGCCTTGGGCTAACGCGGGCAACCCATTCAAACTTTGAGCGCTTGGGCTACTTGGGGTCTAGGTAGTGGTAATTGTAGCACAGGTTGGTGGGCCTCGTGAAAATGGACAATAATGCGGTAATGGTGTGTTAGGTTAGGTCTCGGGCAAGTGCTATCAGGCATCTGGACTCGCAGCGGTAGGTGTTGTTTCTATGGACGGGGACAAGCCGACTTTCATGTGGTGCACTTGCCGGCAGTGAGCAGGGAGCCCATGGGTTCGAGCAGTGACTGGCCAATTTTCTCCACAACAGGTACTTACGGAACTTTGAGATGTAGCTGCGGGGGTTGTGAAGGAGACTATATTTAGGTATTTAGGGCTCGTTGTAGGCCCGTTTTCAGACCAGGATATGCTTTGGGATGCTGCGAAGTCGAAGTCGTAAAGAGATAGAGGGGCCTGCAGGGGCCTGCATCAGGATCTTTAAATCAGCTCCCAGCTGACACAAGTAGGCTGTCGAACAAGGCTTGATAGCTCTTTCACAGAAACAGATGTCCTTCATCAAGTTCTGCACTTCGGTTCTTCCATTCCGCACTGGCACCCTATCTGAACCATGTGCGAAGGGAAACCTCGAAATCTGTGATGCTAATGTACCGACTACACTTGTGTGAATCCTGCAAGCCAATCCAAACACAGCGGTGGACGCTTGCCAAGTCCATCTCAATCGTTCAAATTGATCGCTATGCTGCACGGCACCCACTGCCAATTCACAGCCAGCTGTATGGATCCTTCTGCAACCCTCCGAAGTCCAATTTCGCTGAAGCACAACCCTTCGTTCGATGTACTCAAAAATGTGGCCTTTGAGTCCTTTATTCCTTACTTGGAGTCTGAAAGCGCAAGAATAGCTCAATGTTCCCAAGGATAGCGTTCATCAACATAGGCTACAGGGTCGTCCCAAGCTTCGCTTGGACTGGGCAGCCAGCTTAGGAACCCCGGACCCAGGAAAAGCATGAGAATCTATGGGAGACAGAGCTGTGTGCAGCCAGGCTGGCAGAAGTTGCGGACTGGCATTTGCCTGAGTTCAACAGTAATAGTACAAGCTTTCTTGATCAGGTTGTGGTGCGTAAGGACACAAGACATTTGGCCCAACGTTCCTGGCGCAAGTCCTACCTCATATTGCACCTTCAGCGTCTAAGGCCTCAAGGCTTCGGCTTCTAAACGTGACCTACTCTTGCCGGTTGTGTCTGCGTTTCTAAGTTCTATCCATGATTCCTCTATACTTTCGCTTGAAGCGAAGCCTGCCTGATCATTTCCGATATGTCTTGGTGAGAACCCTCTGCTGTTTGAGAAGTTATGGTGGATCAAGCAGGGCTCGAGGGACTCTGCGTAGGTATATAGGTATGATGCGGATAATAAGCTGTGACGGACGACCCCCAATGATGGAGTCACACTGGATTTTTGGCAAGCCTGCAAAACGCACCAAGTAGGGTCCTGGGCTACCATGTATGTTTAGGTTAGGTAAGACGATCCCGTCAAAGACCTTGTAGCACTTCATCGCGCTGCCCGCAAGTGAATCAAATCCAGAGCGCATTGCCAGGGCACACCCGGCCCAAATCACATCTAACGCAAACCCCGTCTGGAGACAAAACAAATTGCATTTCATCATTAAGAAGTGTACCAAATTCCATTTCACTGTCCATTTGATTTTTCATTATGTACATATATGCCATGTCATCTTCAAATGACATGCGATGATCCCTAAATCGCTCGTGCGGGCCCAAGTCGCGTCCAAGACGAAGCAAAAGCAGACTCCCCGGAAGCCTCTGGGCTGTCCCAACACTGAATCAGCAACTAGTAGGGTTATATTGGGATAGTGGAAAAGAAGATGGAAACTATAGGGATTACATAGGGTTATATAGGGATTATTTTTAATAGACCAGGGCATATTTTGTCGTAGGATAGGGCTTATAAAGCGGTTATGTACGGGTTCTGTATGGAACATGAGAGGGAAGCTAGTAATTATAGGGGTTATAGAAGCTTGTATAGGGTATGTAGGGCTGATATAGGGATCCATAGGGATAAGGGAATAATGGAGAATCAAAGTGGAACATCACAGGGAAAATGAAATGGAAACCTTAGGTCCCTTTAAAGGGGTGTGTGGGAACATGTCGTATAATATGGTATATGTTGGAAATACAGAAGATCATATGCAGGCAGTACTCCCAATAATGGAGAGTCAGATGGAAAAGAAACTTGAACATAGATCTCGGGTTCTGGTGTATATATATATATACACATATATGTATGTCATACCTGTGTATGCATGTATGTATGTATGTATGTATGTATGTATGTATAAATAGATACAAAAAATATACATACAGATATATATATATACACACACGAACTATTGTCTGTTGTAGAGGGTTTAGGGAGGTGTTCAAGACAGATCGATATAGGGATTCTACAGGGATTCTATCGGGATCATATGGGAATCATAGGGATTCTATCTGGATTCTATTGGGATTCTACAGGGACCATATAGGGATTCTACAGGGATTCTGTAGCGAGCATATAGGGCTTACATAGAGAATACGTGGCCATGTAGGACCTTTAGGGTCTATGTGAGGAAAGGACAAGCCAATGCAGATGCATATTTCTATCAGACCTCTTTTCAACTCTGACAGGTTTAGACGCAAGTTTGTTCAACCCCCAGATGAAAAGGCACTCGACGAGCGGGCATGAAAGAAAGCATGATCCGCATCCCTCCCTTGCCCGCCAAACTCCTGAACCATGCGGGCAATTGTAATGTCAGTGTTAGGTCATGTAGTACTATTTCCATGTCAGATCGCATAAGGATATTGAAGAAATCGGACTGCCTAGAACACATCCACGACGAATTCCTAAACTATTCCGCACGTTCTTCCCCACCCTTGCCGCCATCTCCACCCAAAAAAAGCGTCAAACGGCATCTAAAGTGTAGTGGGTTCAACATAGAAGGACCCCCTCAAACAGAGAACACGTGCAAAAGCATAGAAACTCCGAGAAAGCGAGCCCGGCTGCCTGCATCGGTGGCTGGGGCGAGGTAGACAAGTTGTTGTAGTACATGCTGGCCATGGTCTCTTGGATCCTCGCTCTGAGACCCAATGGTTTAAGGTTTAGGGATTAGGGTTTAGGGTTTAGGGATAGTATCCCCAATAATGGAAAATCTAATGGAAAATAAAATGGAAAATGACATGAAAACTGCTGCGGTATTTTGGGGCCATGGTCTCTTGGATCCTCAAAAATGATAAGTCAGGTAATGGAATCGAAAATGGAAGCTACTATACTATATAGGGATTATATAGAGATTATATGTGGATAATGGAAGGAAAATGGAAACTACTGCATTATAGTAGGGTATATATTTGGGGTCATAGTTCATTGCAACCAGTGCTCGTCCTCATCAACAACAACGAAGTTCCCCCTGCAGGGTTTGTCGCCTACTTCATTGGTCTCAGATATCTTGCTACTGTAGCAGCCCGATTATTTGTGAAGGGTCGACGAGCCGCATGGGATGTGCTCCTCAACTCCAGAAATCCCAGATACTTGCCTGAAATCCAACCTGGCAAGTTTCACAACTGTCGCGCTCAGGTCCTAGCAGCATGAAGTAAGCTACAGCCAAAGCCCGTGACTGCTTCAAGGAGCGTTGCAATGACAGTCTGGCTGGGTTTGAGTGCGGGTATAATAGACGCCCTCACACCCCATCACTACCCATAAGGGTATTCTAAAAAGGAAGATACGTTATTCTAATCACATACTCGGATTTGTACCTTGCGACAAAGATTCGGTACCTGAACCAGACACCAAGGTCCTCAAACAGCGCGAAAGAGTCTTAGCAAGAGGCCTATCATAAGCCAAGATCGTGCATCTTGGTACTGACAACCCGTAATGATTTCAATCCTGCTCCTACAAATCCACATGAAGATCTATTCAGTAGCCTCTATAAAGCTACCGTAAAACAGGGTGGTACCTGATCTGTTGCGTCGTAGCGCTCGATCAGCTTCAGGAACCCAGCAAACGTTAAACGCTCCCTCCATGCTGTATGGGCTTGCGGATATGGGGACTATTGGCAAAACCTGGACTATTTCAGCGCTTCTCGAAGTTGAGTCCTTGAGGCCTTACATACCCCACAGTTCTTGATCTCTGTCAAGCACCGTAAAGCCTCCTTTTTTCCGATTCCCCTGCCGAACCAGACTACGCGGGCACCCCCTCACGGATCAATTACGTACGCCTACCCGCAATAGCTGGCTTCTGCAGTGCAATGCAAAGGCTTGCGGTTGCTTCATAGTAGTCAACCTGTTGTAGCACAGCTACGTGGACAAACCAGTATAAAAGCCTATGCAAGACTTTCCCATGCAGGCCAAAACAGCATCCAAAGACTTGCTGTTCCTCTGACACCATGCAAGCCCCCTTATCATCCCACATTTGCAGGAGACTTGCCATAGCCGTCAAATGTGCCCTGGGTCCAATATATGCTAATGTCCAGAAATAAGGGGACTCCAATATGATATAGACCCCAAAATACTACAGTCCTTTGTATAGGGGCCTTGCAGAAGTACCCCTAATTTGAGAAACCACCCATGTTGTGAAACCCTGCATAGCTGTTGCCCAGGTTCTGCATAGCGGAGAGCTTGGCCTCAGCAGGTCAGTGGGACTGGGCTGTTGGATGATGATCAGGTTTCAAGAAATGCTAGTTCCTCAAATCCGGGGCCCCGCATATACGCCCAAATACTGTAATCCTCATGATAAGGATCTCCGTCAAGGGACCCCCTAGTGTTGCCGAAAACGCGATGAGGATAATATGAAGAATGCAGCTCCTTTTGCCGGGCTTGTTATGCTGGGCTCATTAGATGCTCACCCTGGGCTCACTTCCCTGGCTCCTGCTTGTTAGCGCCCTGCCGCTACTGCAAAGGCATGATTTAAGGCTTGCGGTCTGGGATGGTATAGAAGGCAAGTGCTGTGACCTCCTGGCAGCAAGAACATGGTGAACAGCAGCGCAAGACGAATCATGATGGTCGTGGCAACTACAAGTGCTGGCTGTGAGCCCTAACATCACCCCAGTATGCAATCGTCCACCAGAACCTAATATGAAAATGTTCGTAGCAGCCCCAAGACTTCTGGTTGGGAATCTCCATGGTCTGACTCTGACTCAGGCGAGGTAACTGGCGAGCTTATCATACTTTATAATCCGTGCAAGGAGACTTGACGCACCTGCGGCGATGTGTATATACATATGGCATTTAAGTTTGGATTTAAGCAAGTGCCAGTGTGTCAGCAAGCCAGGTAGAGAAAGACTTGGAAACTACACAATAAATCCAGTAACTTTGTTGTGGGTCAGTTCTAAAGCATGTGGACATCTCGGGATGCAGCATCATCATGTATGCCTAATTCCGCGAACGCTCGGCGCAACAACGACCGTCCCGAAACAACTTGAAGAACTTGGTTTCAGTTTCCAAAGGACATTGGTATATGCCGACATAAGCTTCGGAGCTTCGGCAGCTCATGGGCTCCACAGCGTCTCTAGGTGGATCTATGGATTTGGGTTGCCCTTCTGGAGTAAGCTTATCATGATCCCAATTCCCTAGTTACCGGCACAAGGGTCGATTGATTCCCGAAGCCCCAAACTCTCAATTTGCGCTGAGGTTTCTGCGATTTGCTCGGCCAAAGCAGCATGGGTAACTGCATCGTCGACCTGCTCCAGAAGTTTACTTGTGATTTCTTGGATGATTACATGTCGATGCAGGGCACATGGGGAAGACATTCTGTTCTGGAGGGGTGCAGTGAGGGGGGCCATCCAAGCGACGGAAAGACAAGCTGTTTAAGTTGCGAGCCCCAATCCCCGAACCCTAAGCCTAATCCCCTAATCCCTATATCACCCCTATATAACCCTAAACCCTAGCTTCCCTTCGGCCTCCTTTTTAAACTACGCATTTAATTCTTACTCGGCAGGGCCCCTTGCAGAAGTGCACGTTTTTCCACCAAGGTCCCAGGTTGAAGCCAGGAGTGCTATCCGGAACCGGAATTGAAACAACCTTACTTGGCTAGTATAGAGAATAAAGGAAGTTACGAACTTATTGTCTAGGAGTTATATATAGGGACTACAGTATATTCCCTTATTCCCTACTAACCACCAGTCAGCAACTGCTCCTTGATGTTCCTTGAACCTAACCTCGGCATTTGAGTAGCCTGCACTTCTAGGGCAGGTACACTGGGCTTGAGGCCAAGAAGTGAGCATTCTAACAGTCCTGGAGCTACAAGGTCATATGAGGTCATATTAGGCATATTAGGGTTATATGGGGTTAAATGGGGTTTAACTAGGGTCATATCAGGGTTATGGGGTTGCAATAGGGTTATATGGGGGTACATAGGGCGAAGTAGCCCAACCACATCGCGCGGCTCCAGAAAGATTGTAAGGACTCTGTGTGCAGGAAGCGGGGTGGGTGCTATAAGAATCCTTTCGTACGGAAGGTCTGTAAGTACTGCTGGGAGTTACACACCTTTTTCTGCCGTTTCTACAACGGACAGTTCATCTTGACCGTGGCCCTTTGAGCACCATAATCGTGGTGGCCTCATATCAATACACCAACCGTGTAACTACAACATCCAAATCCCAGAATGTAACTTCCCCCCCTCACCAAAATGCAAAACAAGGAAGCGCCGGCTACTGGCTTGTAGTTGTAGTGGTAGTAGTGATAGTAGCAGTAGTAGTAGTAGTAGTAGTACTAGCGCTTTATGTATTTGACGACCCGTTATTCTGGCTGCCGCGTAACCGGAGAAGGAAGAAAACTGCAAAACGCAGTACGTCGGAAGGGGGCTAACTTGAAGAAGGTGCAAAGTTCGGAGTCAGGATTTTTCGGGTTTTTTCGCAAAATTATGATGGGAAGACACAAAATCACTGTCCTGCGTAGTGTTTCGGGCTCCGCGTGCTTTTTTCAAAGCATGCATTTCAGACACAATCGCACATGGCAGCGAAGCAGAAAATACTGTAAAACACAGCATTTTTGCAACAGCGCAATTTTGCAAAAAACGCGTTTTTGAAAGCTCAATTTTCAAGTAGAGGCGAAATGCTATTCGGTCGGCGACTGCGCGAGGAAAAACAAGTAAAGAGTGGTTTCTGTAATCTTTGCTAAATGGCTACACCAGCCGTCCTGAGCGAGTAGCCATGTGGATGGCGCCTTTTTGACACCCTGCTCGAAAATGCAAAGCTGGTTTGAACGGTGGCAGAGAGAGGCTTAATGATAGTATAGCTTAAGGGTTGTTAGATTTTCTTATTCTTGTTACACTGAAAACTTTCAATAGTACAGGTAAAGTATGCTTAGCCATCCTTGCTACCCCAAAGCC